TACTAGTACCCCCAAGACCTGAGGAACAGAGAAGAACTAGTATTCCCCAGGTAAGAGCCCAGGCTACCCTGTGGGAGCTAGAACCTTGGAGAAGGAACCACCCAAACTTGCTGGAAGCGCTGCACGGTTGCCTGGTAGGAACTGGACCACAAAAAGTGGGGCTTCCAGGCAGGAGCTGGAACCATAGAAGAGACACAGTCATAGCTCAGCATGCTACCAAAGCATAGAGGAAAGAAACCACCCTTGGATTCTCCCCCTCCCAAACCTCCATTTCCTGCCAGTAACTCTCATTGGCTGAACCTAACCAGAAGGCAGTAAGAAAGGGAACCTGAGAATTCAGAGCAAGCCCTTAAGATTGAAAGCAGAGGAGGGCAGAAAGTGGATTTTAGAGAAAATGGGCAAACAACCTGAATACAAATTGGAAAAGGAAATACAAATAACTAATAAACATAGGAAAGTATATTCAACTACTTTAGAAACCAGAAAAAATGTAACCTTAAACCATAATGAGATACCATTTTGCTCCCCACAAAAATGTTAAGATGCCAAGTATTTTTTTTAAAGATTTTATTTATTTATTCATAAGAGACACAGAGAAAGAGAGGCAGAGACATAGGAAGAGGGAGAAGCAGGCTCCATGCAGGAAGCTTGATGTGGAACTCGATCCTAGGACCCCAGGATCACGCCCCTAGCCAAAAGCAGACGCTCAACCGCTGAGGCACCCAGATGTCCCTGATGCTAAGTATGGAAGATGTTCAGCAGTGGGAAGGTTTGTACATACTGCTGGGAGTGTAAACTAGAAAGCACATTGACATTGTCTAATAATGATGATGATGTTGAACATACCTTATGCTCTAGGAATTCCACTTCTAAGAACACACTCTCAGGAAAATCTAGCCACGTACAGGAGACATGTACAATAACGTTCACAGAAGTATTGCTAAGTATAGCAAATTACCCACCTGGAACCTACTCAAATGTCCACCAGCAAGAGAATGCATAAAGTGTGCTTCATTCTTATACTGGAACATTGCATAAAAATGAGCAAACTATAGCTACATACACAGATGAATACACAGATGAATGTCATAGGCATGATTTTGAGCAAAAAAGTACCCAAAAAAACTTGAAATGATTCCACTTACATAAAATTCAAAAACCTGCAACATTATATAGACTATTTAAGGAATGAATCATCTATGGGGAAACTATAAATGAAGGAATGATAAACAACTCTGAGGAGGGGTTACCTCTGTGTGCAAGTAAGGTGGACATGGTCAGGAGGAGGCCCAAAGCCTAGCTACTATTTTTTAGATATGATACATTTTATATTTAAAAACTTCACTTCGAAGATCTAAAAGCTCATGTTTCCTCTTCCTAATTGTGACTGGGAATAAAATAATACACTCTCACACATTCATGCACGTTCTATAATTAGATTTCCATTTTGGTATCCTCATTTATGGCTATTAACCTTGGCCTAGTTATATCAATCTTGTCTATGTTGCCTCGGTTTCCACATCTGTAAAATAAGGATGATAATAGTTTCTTCATAGGATGATTATCAGATACAAAAGCACACCAGAAATGCTCAACCCCATGGCCTGGCACCCGGCCAGTGGCAGATGTCTGTTATTTTGCTCACATCATTGCTTCAGTCCATGTAGTGTCCTCCCCACCACCCCTATCTACTGACCATTACTCATCCAAGGACATTCAATATAGTGCCTGAAGACCCTCCCACCCATCCACCCCAGCTGACTTCTCCCTTTTTTAAATGCCTAAACTTCCTGTTGCCCACACTGGACATTTACCATGTATTTATTTATTCATTCATCCTTTATGAGGCACTTACTGTGTATTTATTCACTCATTCATACAGCAAGTCATGGGTCAGGTCCTGGGAACACAGAAGTGCCTAAACAGACACTGCCTTCATGGGTCCTGCAGCCTGGAAAGGGAGCTAGACATTCTACCAGTGAGGGAGTGGATAACTCTTTAATCCAGCTATGCTAGGTGCTATCAAGACAAAGTGTGAGGTACATTGAGAACCTACCACAGAGGAGGTTGACCTAGACTGTAGAGTCAAGAAAGATTTCTTTAAGGAAGTGACATTCAAGGTAAGACTTGAAGGATACACTGCTTTCTATTGTCACTATAGGCAATAAATATTTATTTTTTTAAAGATTTATCTATTTATTCATGATAGACTTGAGAGAGAGAGAGAGAGAGAGAGAGAGAGAGAGAGAGAGAGAGGCAGAGACACAGGAGGAGGGAGAAGCAGGCTCCATGCCAGGAGCCTGACGCAGAACTCCATCCCGGGACTCCAGGACCGCGCCCTGGGCCAAAGGCAGGCGCTAAACTGCTATGCCACACAGGGATCCCCAATAAATATTTATTTAAAACATATAACCTACATGGAGTATCAGCGCACATGTAACTACAGAAAAAATAGAGTAGTCCCTCCTTACCCATGGGAAATACGTTCCAAGCCTCCAAGTGGATGCCTGAAACCACAGATGGGACTACCCCTATATATACTATGTTTTTCCTATACATACATACATAACCATGATAAAGCTTGATTTATAAATTAGTTATGGTAAGAGATTATGACAATATACTGCAATAAAAGTCATGTGACTCTTTTCTTTCTCTCTCTTTCAAAATATTATACTATACTCATCCTCCTAGTGATGACGGGAAATTATAAGATGCCTACCTGATAAGCTGAATGATGTAGGGACAGAGTTTTAACTATTGACCTTCTGACCACATATCAGAAGAAGAATCATCTGCACTGTAGTTGACTGAGGGTAACTGAAACCACAGAGAGCAAAACTGCAAATAAGGGGTGATCACTCAAGCAGCAAGTGACTAGAATGTACAACATTATCCAGATGTTTAGAATCCCCAAGGGTCAGGGTTTTTCTTAGAGACATTTTATATAAAATGTGAGATTTGAGCAAAGCCTTAACTGGAAGACAAGAGAGGGGGGGAAAGAGACATTTTAGATATATTATATATATACATATATCCATTTATCCATATGGATATATGGGCAGAGATAGGAAAAGGCAAGACAGGTTCAGACAGGTGGCTTGAACCAAGGAGTGACATAGGAAAGTGACTAAAAGTAAAGTTCAGATCATAGAAGGGCTTGGTTTATCCTAGATAGGTTTTCTTTCTGTATTATGGGTTTCTTTGAGACTCTCATAAAAACCCTGGACTTCTTCTCTTTCTCAAAAAAAAAAAAAGTTTTAAGTGTATTCGTAAATCTGTATATAATTTCAGGGGTTCACAATCCCTCTGAACTCCCAGTTAGCACTGAAAGGATGCGAGCAGAAGAAAGGTGACATGTTCCAAACAGTGTTTAAGAGTGTTTCCTTTGCCTAAAAGGGAAATTACTGGTAGGAAGGTCAATTGAGAAACTATTTCAACATAATGCGAGCAGGAGCTCTTGTAGGTCCTATGCTAAGGGGGTGGCTCTAGGAGTTCATTAAGTAGGTAAACTAATATTTATTGAAAGCTTACTCTGGTACTCAGTGTAATAAGGTAAAAATGAGAAGATAAGAGCACTGCCCTCAACTAGCTCCAAGCTGGGCAGGATCACCAAGGCAAGCAGCCGTATATACGTAAATGCAGAGGGAGTCAGAGCAGTAGCAGATTGTCTTACTCAGAACTTTCCACTGGCAAGTTCTAGAAAATCAAATCAATGTCGCTGATATTATATTCAAGGCACATCACAAAACAGCCACAACTCACCTCTCTGTTGTCATTTGCACTTAAGCCTCTATCACGACTACTTCAACACAGGCACACACAGGACTCAGCCAGCCGGAAACTACTTTTCCTGACACTACTTTTCCTGCAGGTCCGTTACTATTTTTCTCCAAGTAGTTTTGCACGGTCAAATTCCTATGCACCCCCCGAGGCCCAGTTTAGGTGTTGTCTTCCTTGAAGCTTTGTCCAGTCTCCCCGTTCATTCTGCTCTGAGTTAACTGTGTGCGGCCTCAGTAACACTGAGCAAGCAGGGATGTTGTCTTTCCATCTCACCCTGGGAGGTGCCCATCCCTGTGGTGGCAGGTGCTTAGTATCCACTGAGCTGAAAGGCCCCGGCAGGGAGAGGATGGAGCCAAGGCGCATTTGGGAGCCACCGTGAAGCCTTGGCGGCTGCAATCACACAAAGACAGCCTAGATGTCCCCCCTCGTGGAAGAAGCTGCTCGGGGGACAGCAATGCAGGCGACTCTGGGCACACATCATGTGCCTTTATGGGGTTTGAAAACATAGGACATCTACGGCCAGGCAACTAGGGTCAGCCTAGCTACAGGGGCTGCAGACCCCACGGGGACAGGATAAGTGTCACTGTCACACCGCTGGTTTGTGATGCAGACCGCCACATTTCTACCGGATTGTTATTAAGAAAAGAGCTTACTTGCAAAAGTCAGGTGCTTATGTGGCTTAAATCTTTTGGAACTATTGATTGTAGGGTCCCTCGAGTGGCTCTTGCTTTTAATTCTTTAACAACTGCAGGTGACACTGAAGCGTGCCATTACCTCGCCTTGCTTGCGCTATCCAGATACACAGCCGCAATCGGGACACCTGGATCCCTTGGCTTGACCGCAGCAACAACGCTACGGGCGCAGGTTTCCGCCTTTGGGGCACGAGAGGATGTGGGTGCCCTTGCAGCGCAGTCATGCAGGGAAGAGGTCCTCCCACGCGGAGGCGCGCTACCGAGGACCCAGCCCTGACTGCACCCACCCCGCCCACCAGGGCGTTGCCAGGTCCTGCGCGACACTCGGCTCTCTCGCTCCGCGCGCGCTTCCCGCCTCCAGGAGCAGAGCCTGACTCCCGGCTCGCGGGCGCCCCGCCCCGAGGCCCCGCCCCTCCCCGCGGCCCCGCCCCCGCGGCCTCGCCCCGCCCCACCTGATTGGCCGAAGGCGGAGGGGGCGGGGCCGGACCCGGGAGGCGGGCGGCAAAAGCGCCGGCGGAACGCCGCGAGAGGGTGGGTGCCGCGTGCGCCTGGGGACCCGCTCGGGATGGGGACGCGCTGGGCGACCCTCCGTCGCGCGGCGGAGCTCCTGGTGCTCCTCCTCAGGTGCTTCCGGCCGGCCGAGCCCTCTGGCCGCACAGGTAACCGCGGGCGCGCCAGCCTGCCGGCCGCTAGGGCCCTCGACGTCGTCGGGTCCGCCGACTTTCCTCGGTCCGGGTTAGGGCTGCGCTTTGGGTCTCTTCCCCTCTGCTTTCCTCGGGAGGGGGCTGGAGCCCAGCGAGTGAGCCGAAGGGGAGGGCCGGGGAGAAGGCGCTCCGGGGCTCTCCGGTGAAGGGGGGGGCGTGGAGGACGGGGGGGCCGTGGAGGGCAGGGGGAGCGTGGAGGGGAGGGGGGAGCGTGGGGGGGAGGGGGGGAGCGTGGAGGGCGGGTAGGGGAGGGGGAGAGCGTGGAGGGCGGGGGGACGGAGGGGAGGGGAGAGCGTGGAGGGCGGGTAGGGGAGGGAGAGCGTGGAGGGCGGGGGGGCGGGGAGGGGAGGGGGAGAGCGTGGAGGGCGGGGGGACGGAGGGGAGGGGAGAGCGTGGAGGGCGGGGGGAGCGTGGAGGGGAGGGGGAGAGCGTGGAGGGGAGGGGGAGAGTGTGGAGGGCGGGGAGGGCGGGGAGGGGAGGGGGAGAGTGTGGAGGGGGGGCTGGGAGGGCAGGGGGCGTGGAGGGGGCACGTGGAGAGCAGGGGGGAGGTGGAGGGGGCGGGGAGGGCAGGGGGTGCGTGGAGGACGGGGACGTGGAGGGCAGGGGGCATGGAGGGGGGACATGGAGAGCAGGGGGGAGGCAGAGGGGGCGTGGAGGGGGGACATGGAGGGCGGGACGTGGAGGGCAGGAGGAGCGTGGAGGGGGGTGGAGGGGGAAGGCAGGAGGCAGGAGGGGGCGTGGAGGACGGGGAGGGGCGTGGAGGGCAGGGCCTTTTTCGTGCTGAGGGAGAAGAGGCCACCGTAGAGAAGGCGCACAGCCCTTTCTGTGCCCGCCCCCCCTTCCTTTTCTTCTCGCCTCTAAAAGCTGGCTTTCCTGGAGTAAAGGGCTTCCCAGGACCCCCCAAACCCCATCCAGCCCGTCTCGCCCCTCCCTCGCCTCTTGGTCACCTGGGCCACTGCGTGTCTAGAGGAACTGTCTACCCACAGCGCCAAGGATGATTAATGATTCCCCGACTTCGCTCCGTGTTCGCCAAAGGTGCACGTCAGAAGGAAGTCAGGTTAAGCCATGTCTTCCAAAGTGACCATGACCATAATTCCGTTATGATGCCCTCCCCGAAAGCCTTGAGCAGCGATCCTTTCTTCTAATTGGCTTATCAGCTCCCAGACCCCCACCCCACCCCACCCCCAGGAGGCCCAGGGCTGCAAGTTCCAGCGCAGGTCACTTGGCCGCAGACCTCCTTCCTGCCTCCCTACTGCGGAAGCAGGACCAGGAATAGACTCTGCGCTGATGCTCTGGGTAGTGCCAGCCTCACCATCCCCCCCACCCCCCCGCCGCAGCAACCGGGGTTTGCTTTTACTTTCTTTTTGCCTTGGCAGAAGGTGCCCCAGAGGACTTTCTTAGTCGCGCTGCATAGTGGGCAGTCATTGAGCCATCACCACCTACCTCTTCTGTTAATTTTGCTGTATTGAGGAAGTAAAAGATGCACAAGGAAGTCTTTGAAAACGGTAGGCTCCTTGTGGCTCTGATTTTCTCCTGGCAGCTAACGTGGATTCCTGCCAGATTTAGACTTTTCTCAGAGAGTGATAGGAAGAAGCTTCCCAGGTATGAGTGACATCACGCCATCTACATCGAGGACGTTTTAATGAATACTGTCCTGATTCACGCTGCTTGAGGGGTGCGAATCCCCAAAGCCCTTCACTGGCTGTGAGAATTCTCTTCCACCTGCCCCACAGTCCAGGGAGAAAAACCTCACTGCCACGACTAACTACAGTCAAAACACACTAACCTTTCAGTCACCAAAGTCTTGGTTTCCCTCTACCTACTTCCGGTTTAGTCTTAGCTGTTTTGTCTCCCCTACAGAATTCAAGATTAAGGATTAATTTTTGCAATCTCTCCAATCCCTGGCCTTTCTCATCAACCCAAACCAAAGAGCAGCAGCTTAACTCCATTATCCTTGCACAATGTCCAGGCAGGTATTTGTTTTCCTGCATCCTTCCTTACCCTCAGCAGCTGCTCTGGTCAGCTTACATGTACTCTCAGACCAGACCTTGTGGTCCCATTAAGGAAAGCGCTGGAGTTTTGAAACCCCAGCCATTTGAGTAACTTGTTTGGCAGTGTGTCAGCTTCATCATACTGGTAATGGCATGTACTCGGTTACACGTATGCAGCTAGGTTTGTGCGGATAGTCTGGGTTGCTCAGTTGCTGAAGGAGCTCTTCTGTGTCTTTGGGGAAATGCCAATTGCTTAGTTTACTTTTTTGCTTCCTTGGGGAGCTAATAGCTTGAGGTAAACCAATCCTTCTGGGACTCCTGAGGTTCTTACCAGCCCATACCACCCAATCTGAACCCCAAAACTTTCTGACTCCTAGTAGACTATCATGGATCCAAGGTCACTTCCAGACCTGTTTTTGAACTGGCAAACCCAGACTTCTGACTCTTCTACTCCACTTGTACAGTCGGCGCACATGGAGGCAACTCCACAAAATACTTAACATTGCGAGCTGTAGAAGTTCCCCCCAAAACTAAAAATGCTGCAATCTTCATCCTTTTGCCTTCATCTCCCTTTCCATTTGTCTGTGATTATAAAATGTTGATGTTCAACTTCTCGGGAATGTGCAAGGCTCTTTTGTTTAGGTAAGAAAAAGTTACCTAATGATTAGGCAATAAGAGATAGTTTTCCTCTAATGGGTATGGCATACTAAAAATTCATTTTTAGTATATGCTACTTAACTATTTCGTCTCAGACACAACTAGAATGTTTATGTAAAATGTAGCGTATAAAACTTGCTACTAGGGATGCTTCTTTTTATCAACCTCTGCCTTTAAGATTTGCCCAAATATTGTATGTGGAAGTAAACATTAAAATTCCCATTTAGGGGAAGCCCTGGTGGCCCAGCGGTTTAGCACCACCTTCAGCCCAGGGCATGATCCCGGAGTCCTGGGATCGAGTCCCGCGTCGGGCTCCCTGCATGGAGCCTGCTTCTTCCTCTGCCTGTCTCTCTGCCTTTCTCTCTGTGTGTGTCTCTCATGAATAAATAAATAAAATCTTTAAAAATAAAATAAAATTCCCATTTAGGACCAATATGAGGTAACATGAACAAGATGCAATCATGCTCTGTAATTACCTTTTCAAAATGTAATACATTCCTGAAATATTTTATATACCCTTATTTAATACATTTTCTTTAAAAAGGAATTGTTTTCAATCCTTCCCACTCTTCAATCCACCATCCCAATAGGGTCGCAAGACTCAGGCAGACTGAACAGCTTCTGCCAAGGGTAAGGAAAGATATGGGGAAACACCATGAGAAGACATGTATTATTTATGAATGCTTATACATACATTATGTATGAAGGCTAATAGCAAGTTTCCTTAAATCATATCAATAATTAATATTTGTGCTAAGTGACCACTATAGATGTCAAACATTGTACAGACTTGGTTAAAAGACAGATTTAGAATAAGGCAAGTATTTATGACCATAGATGTTTCAATTAGGTAAGAAGTTTGGCAACTCCTTTTTAACATAGCTTATGCATGCTACTCCACACCTCTCCTGTACACTTTCAGAGTTTCTACAAGCTTGTTAAGTCTATGGGTGTCCCAGAAGTAAAACATATAGTAAATGGGAAAGAGTAAATTTTCTTTCCCTTCCAAAGAGTATGAAGTGTCACTGTTCCCTAAGTCAACATGCCTGATACTAAAAGGATTAGAATGACCTAAAATGCTACTAGCATTAGCATGACATAATAAAGTTGTGGACATCTGTTCAAGAACAATATACAATGAACTTAGCAAAGACCAGTAAAACCTGCAAGGCTAGGAAAACTGTTGTCTTATGGAAGGCTACAATGTTACTACTATATACTATCTAATATATATATATATTTTTTTCTTGCTTTTATCTTAGATTTGAAGATACAAAAACCCTGAGGATAGTAAGTGACTTCCCCAAGGTCTCCCAGCTAACTGGTAGCTGAGCTAGATAGGTCTTTAGTCTAGGACCCCTACATCCTTATTCCACTGCTTCTACTATACTAAGAACTGTAGCTAATCTATTGAATTCTGCAAAGGCTATTTGAAAAGTCTAAGAACTTCAAACCACAAAGGTAGCAAAGCTGCTGCTAGCCTAGTTCACCTATCTGGGTCCAAGGGGCATAGAGCAGAGTTTCCAGAAAAGAGAACAATGAGACCATAGGGCAAGGGAAGGGAAGGTTCCAGCAAGGGTGGTGGATGCCTGCTTTCCTGTGGAAGCTGACTTCTTTTTTTCTGCAGTAATTCCTGATACTTTGGAATGCGAGATTTATTTTGGAGAAGTGAGAGAGAATAGTTTAGGAGAGAGAGAATACTTTGAGAGACCCTCATGGGTCTAAGTGGATATTAAATGTGTGGGAGAAGGACGTTGGAGAAACTGTGAGTGATAATCTTCTAAGATAGTATGTTTTCCTTTTTTGTTATCTGTCCTCCCAAATTGTGTCCACAAAGTAGAGAGTGGCAGAGAAATGTCAAAGAAAGAAGAGTGAAGGATGGAAGCTGATATGACAAAGACACCTAGCTGCAGCCCTGTGTGATATTTTAAAATACAGATTTGAAAGCAGAAGTAATTTAATGTTTTTACGGGATTTTGTGGTTGTTCCTATTGTTTCTCTTGTTGTTGCCACTGCTGTTTAAAACAAAAAAATTCTCTTTAATTTCAAGTTCAATCTGAAACTTGACTTAATTTTATAGTTACTATTTATATGGTGAAATTTCCCCTCAAGTCCTTGGTATGAGAATTTTTAACTCTGAAAGCCTGTGAATTATTATTAGAAAAGATATTTCGCGTTAGTAAAATCAGTGTTTGTGAAGCTGGCATCAAAATGAAAGTGCCGTTTGGGAACTAAAGTTTTATGGGTCCTTCTGCTGAACCCTTTGGTTCATTGACAATGATTGTTTACATTTGTCGAAAATATTTCAGTTTTACTCTCACCAGCATGAACTTTTGTGCTATAACTTCAAAAAAATTTTTTTTCTAAAAGCACTGGCCAAATTGTTCAATTGTAATTTGTTGTAACACATGTGAATCTTGTTCCATAAGCTCAGGTGTGCAAGAAACAATGCATTGCTTTATTTTCATAAAACCAAATTAAATTTTATTCTGAAGTCCTATTCTACCAAGTTAACAGAACTTCAGGTTCTATCGTCACTGAAGTCTTCCCTAATTCATGGGAAACTACCAGGGAAATATTCAGGGAGGTCTCTCCTTTAGCCTCTAGCTTATACTCGATGCTTCTGAGTTTTCCACTGTGCAAACCTTCTGGGTGTTGGATTCTGTATCTCAGGTGATTTCTGGAGCCTAGGCTCAGCCTCCCTTTATGATCCACACAGTCAGCAGCCCCCTGGGCCCCTCCTCACAGACTTCCCATCACGTTCCTGAAAGTATGATGGTGGAGTTGACCATGAGTCCCTCCTACCCTCAGAATCCAGACCTTCATTTCCTCTCATCCCTTTACCCCACTATTCTACTTCTGCCCCCTCAGAAGTTTCCCCATCTCCTCTGAGACAAGTTAATGCCATGTAATAATTTACCCTGTCATAGTAGCTAAAGTATAAGCAAAGCAGAACTGCAGCCCTGAATAGGTGCTCGATGTTTTTCATTGACCTTAGACCACCTGTCTAAGGCAGATGAAAACTAAAAAGCTTCTTTATATCATTAAATAAAGTATGTGTGGGAAGATATTTCATGGAATAACAATAACAAATATACATATTCTAAGTGCTTTACGTATATGAGCTCATTTGAACCTCACATCTACCATATGAAGTACTATTTTACAAAAGAGAAAACTGAGGCATAGTGGTTAAATAACTTGCCCTGATTGACATGAGTAATAAGTAGCAGAGGCAGACTATGAACGCTGGCAGACTGGCTCATGCTCTTAACCCATGCTATACTGTCTCCCTGGCTACCACTGTCCTCTGACCTTGTGTAGTACACTGCAGTTGATAGAGTTTGGAGGGTGGGAATAGTCCAGTGGTGCTCAGACTCTCATCAGCAAGCAGGGGACAAGGCACACTGACCACACAGTTCAGAATCCTGAAATGTCTTCTTTGACTATCTTGACTCAGGCAATGATCCATTCACCATCATCAGTGAAAACACGGGCAAGTGCATCAAGCCACTAAATGACTGGATAGTAGCGATGGACTGTGATGGAAGTGGGGACATGTTGTGGAAGTGGGTGTCCCAGCATCGGCTCTTTCATTTGCAATCCCAGAAGTGCCTTGGGCTAGGTATTACCAAACCCACAATTTCCTTGAGAATGTTCAGCTGTAACTCCAATGCCTCACTGTGGTGGAAATGTGAGCACCACTCTCTGTATGGAGCTGCCCAGTACCGACTGGCTCTGAAGAATGGACATGCTATAGCAAGTACAAATTCATCTGATGTCTGGAAGAAAGGAGGCACAGAGGAAAACCTCTGTGACCAGCCTTACCGTGGTGAGTATTGGAGAGGGACTTTAAATCATTTGCTGTTGTGTTTGGTAAATGTGACATTAAACATGAACAATTGATTACAAATAAAGTCTTGCATTGGTAAGGGAGCTAGCATTCAATTCCAGGCACTGAGCATTAACATTGAGCTACCTATGTGAGATCGGTGCTAGTTTTCCCCTTTTACAGGTAAGGCTAGAAGGGGTTAGGTGCCTTGTCAGAGATCACACAGTCACTCTGTAGTAAACCTGGGGTTTGAAATCTCTATGATACATGAGCATATGTATTTCCTATGATTACATTCTGAACTGCAAAAGAAAGGAAACATTAGAGTAACAGGAAATCCTTTATACAAGAGGAAATTCAAATGACCTAAGGAAATCAAACCTATTCTAAGGTTAAAAAGGAAAAAAAGGGCAGCCCAGGTGGCTCAGCAGTTTGGTGCCACCTTTAGCCCAGGGCCTGATCCTGGGGACCTGGGATCGAGTCCCACGTCCGGCTCCCCAAAGGGAGCCTGCTTCTCCCTCTGCCTCTGTCTCTGCCTCTCTCTCTCTCTCTGTCTGTCTCTCATGAATAAATAAATAAAATCTTTAAAAAAAATAAAGGAAATGTATCTCTCCTTGCCTACAGATGTTTATGTAATGGAAAAACTTTAAGACCTCATGTGAGTTTATTTTTATTTTTGGCATGGCTGTCACACTTTGATGTTTGTGTTTATGATTTTAAGAGTGGACTTTGCTTTCAAAAATAAATGCAGTTGCTTTCAATTGCTTTCAATAAATAAATACAATTGGCCCTTGAACAATATGGAAGTTAGGGGTATTCACCCAAAAGTTAACTACTAATAGCCTGTTAACTAGAAGGCTTACTGACAATGATAATAGTTGGTTAACACATATTTTGTATGCTGTATGTATAACATACTGCATTCTTACAATAAGGTTAGCTAGAGAAAAGAAAATGATATTAAAATCATAAGGAGAAGCGCCTGAGTGGTTCAGTCAGTTAAGCGTTGGACTTTTGGTTTCGGCTCAGGTCATGATCTCTTGGTGGTGACATCAAAGCCTAAGTCTGGCTCTGCACTGAGCATGGAACTTGCTTAAGATCCTCTTTCCCTCTCCTCTGCCCATCCTGTCCCCACTTGCACATGACATGTGTGTCTACATGTGTGTGCTCTCTCAAAAAAAAAAAAACTATAAGAAATAGGAAATACATTTACAGTGCTGTAGTGTATTTATATATAAAGAAAACACAAGTGGGCCCTTGCAGTTCAAACCCATGTTATTTGAGGGTCAACTGTATATGAACATTGCATATGAGAAAGCTGATCATAAACTTTGTTCTGGGTCTAGAAACTGGATTATAACAAATTTCCAAGTTTAAAAAGAATGAATTGATTGGGGTGTCTGGGTAGCTCAGTTGCTTAAGTGTCCGACTCTTGATCTCAGCTTAGGTCTTGATCTCAGGGTCATGAGTTTAAGCCCTATCTTGGGCTCCCGGAGTTGGGCTCCATGCTGGGCATTGGAGCCTACTTTAAAAAAAAAAAAAAATGAGTAGGTTTATTTTTTTTTTATTTTTATTTTTTAGAGTAGGTTTATTTTTTAAACCTCTAAATTTAATCAGTTATCACCCAAATAAATCTTTTTCATCATGTTGCTCTAAATTACATTAAATGTTGATATGTAAATATATATTTCATCATCTTATTTAAGTCAACTATTATCTCACTTTTGCTCTTTGTAAATTTACCTAGCTTTACAGAGATTTTTCTTTTCTCTCAAAGGTCATTTAAGCTTAATTAACACCTTAGTCTTCCAGTTACCTGCACAAATTTCTCTCCTATAGTAACTATTTCTATTTCCTACTGAAAATGCATCTGATTTCTGAGATGTCAGGTTCTATTCTTAGGGGAAAATGTTAAGTTAGAGAATCAGAGACAGGGTTTTCCTTTTCTTTAATCCTCAATCCTTGAGTAGTTGAACAAGTCTGTTTTTGCTAGCCAGCTTCCTCCTATATATGCAATGGAATATTACCCAGCCATCAGAAATGGAATCTTGCCATTTGCAATGACATGGATGGAAGTAGAATGTAATATGTTATGTATTATGTTAAGTGAAATAAGTCAGAGAAAGATTACCATATGATTTCACTCATATGTGGAATTTAAGAAACAAAACAGATGAACACAGGAGAAGGGAAGGAAAAATAAGATCAAATACAGTGGGAGGCAAACCATAAGAGTAAGAACTGAGGGTTGATGGGGGAGGTCGGTGGAGGGATGGAGTAAATGGGTGATGGGCATTAAAGAGGGCATTTGCTATCATGAGCACTGGGTGTTATATGTAAGTGATGAAACTAAAGTCTACCTCTGAAACTAATGATACACTATATGTTAACTAATTTGAGTTTAAATAAAACCTAAAAAGAAAAAAAAAGAAGCAATTGCTTTCTGGATGCCACTTAATGGCAAGTTTAAATTTTGCACTTTGAAAGCCTTTCTCTAACTTGGTAGCTAAGAGAGAGCATGGAATGAAAGCGAAAATGCCTTTTAAACTGGATTTATTTCATTCTATTTGTTTCGTTCAAACACTAGAAAGGATAATTTTCTTTGTGGGGTCTGTCTCCTGCCCCAAATTCTTTTGAGGGATACAGTTGTAATTATAAATTCCTTTAGTCTCCAGAATTTCAAACTAAAATCTATTTTATGCATTTGTAATATCTCCTGAGAAGGAGACTTGTGCATTTCACTCAGCTGCCAAAATGATCAGTAGCACAAAAAAGGTTTAAGAACCCACCTAGGCTACCAGCAAAAGCCCACAGACAGAAGGTGTTTCTTGACCTTAACAAATCCAATATTTGGAACACTGGATTTTCAAATAAGAAATTTAGAGATTTCTGAGAAAAGACCCACGTTCCGACTTATCGCCTCCTATCTCAAGTTTTAATTTGCACAGAAGCCATGGTCAAACCTGCCTCCTCTTCTTCATCCATTTCCAGGTGATTGGTACCGTCCCAGTCATGCATGTCAGAAATCTACGAGTCACCCTAGAGTGTCCTGCTTTCCTCTCTCACCATTCCAATGTAATCACATATTAAGCCCTGGCAGTTTTTCTCCTTTATATTTATGCATTCCTTTCCTGTTTTTAGATTAGAGACTACCGTCTTAAGTTAAGGACTTTATCTGGGACAGTTCATTCAGACTCCTTGTTTTGGTTCCTGCCCTGCCTTTTTCCTAGCTGTATAGAGATAAGAAAGATAAGATACTTGAGTGCCAGTAGACTGAAGTCCAAGGTTATCCAGCTTGTTATAGCAAAGCTACCGTTCAACCATGACTGAATTCCCCAAATATAGCTTTTTTATTTCTATCTTGGTTTTTGCTATATAAGCTTTTTTTTTTTTTTTTTTTTACTTCTAATATAAGAAAGATTATTTGTCATTGTGGTCTGGGTTGCCTTTCTCTCCAATCCCCATCCTGTGAGTCGTGTTTATCTTAGAGAAAACTTTGGTTGTATAAATGTTACAAATGAACTGTGTTTGCCTAGCATCCAGATATGCATTTATATCATTAGGATATCTTGAGCTCACTCTGACTGTTCAAATTTTGACTTTTTGGCAAATTGAGAGGAAATTGAACTGTCTACATTTTGAATAACTCTTAGGAGCCTGCCAACCCCTTTAACCATTGAAGCTATTTTGCCTCATGAAGAAATTAATGTTAGTTTTCCATGTAAGTGATTGAAATCACAAATTTGTACCTATTGTAGAATATGCTGTTGTTTTAAGAGTGCTATTACCATAAATTCACACATTCAAGACAAGATTCTTCTCAGAAAAAGCATGTCTCTCTAGGGAAACACATGGGATTTAAGAGGTGTAGTAGCAGTGAAGAATGTGTGAGAATGAAACTCTTCGTTGAATAGTTAGCATAATTTAGCTGCTACTAATGTGGTGGTTGTTGTTATATGCCTATCATTCTTCAAAGGATATTGTGAATAGGAGAGCTTTTTAATTGAAGCCTAGCTTTGAGCTATGATACATAACTTGAAACCTGAGAAGGCAGCCAGTAAAGTCACAAGTTGTCCTTAATGTGTCAAGGACTCTATATTGAGAGAGCCAGTTCTCATCCCTGTCACTTACAGTTTACTGAATGTCTTACTTTACACTGCAAAAATGGGGATTTCACAAAAAAAGTGTAATACTTGCCCTACTACTCTCACAGGTTTATGGTAAAGAAGGAGTGAAATAAATGTATGTGAAAACACCTCATATAACAGAAACACAAGATTTTTTAGGAAGAAACTGTTGGTTCTACAAGTAATAGTTACCGTGCTCAGAGAATCCTTTTATGTGCTGTTATATAAGAAGTGAAGTGGTCATGAGCTTTGGTATCCTTAAAAATGTAACATAAATGATAAGCAGTTTCCCTGTGAAATAAAAGGTCAAATTATTTTTTAACAGAAATATCCTGTCCAAAATCATTTACATGTCAGAGGAAAACAAAATCAATATTCCTTAAAAGTCTATTTGCAAATAAAAGCATCTAGATTATTCTCACTTTTTGCTGTACTGCTGCTTAATATATTCTAAACTGTTAAATTAAGTCTCATACTTCAGTTAAATGAATGTTTGAGAATGATAAAGAATGTGGAATCAAATACTCTCTTAAAGCACACTTTTAAGCAAATCTGTGAGACTTTTTAATGGATTCTAATAGCCTGATAAAGGGTAGTAAGATCTGACTATTACGCTTTACCTAAAGCCATTATTTGATCTGATAATGACCTTGGTTTTAAACAAATTAAGGATATGGGAAAAGGTGACCAAAATAATTACACAGTTAGCTATTGTATAAAAATGCCTTTCCAAGAGAACTGTTACCCACATAAGTATTGAGCACTTCCGCTAGTATTTGTAAGCATACTTGAGGTTGGAATAATTTTTCAGTTCCTCTCCATGTATCAGAGGAAATTATTAAAATGAAAAACTAGTTCTGCTACCTTGATGGCCACCAGCTATTCCAATCACTGCCTAGCTAAAGCTGGTTCTTTTATGTTCTGAATTGCCATGCTCTGCTCCTCTCCAAGAACCTTCTCAGAGATCCAGCTGTTCTTTCTCCCACTTCCTCGAAACCCACAACCCCAATTCCTTGTAGAACCACCAGTCTGTGAACAATGGGGCTGTGTGTCCATCTGTCTACAGTTGTTCCAAAGTCCACACACACACACACACACACACACCCGCCAGTGATTCCAAGGTATTTTCTTGGCCATGCTCTTCCTAAGAAAAGAAAATAGAATATAAATTTAGTCTCAGGCAGGGCACCCCTTCTGATGAAGTACTCCGCCACCCATGGTATTCAGTTGATCAAGCAGGGATCATTAAGCTCTTCATCACACCATAACAAATGAAGCTTTATATAGATTATCTCATTGAATCTTCTTGAGCAAACCTGTGAGTTAGATACTAATACTCCTTATTTGCAAATATAGGAACTGAGGCTAGTAGAAGTTGGAAAGCTTGCCTATAGCTGCACAGCTGGTCAGTGGGGGAACCAGCATTCAAGTCCAGACCTAAGCAGTCCGCATCCACGCTCTAAATGTTCACACTGCAGCATACTTGGATACCATATTCTCTTAAGTGAAAACAGCAATCTTTCCCTTACAGAAAATTTAGGAATTCATTAACTGAAAGTGACTGTTTTTAACAGCCACCAGTTTTTAACTTTCCTCTACTTCCTCCCCACACCACAGAGGTATATACCAGAGATGGGAACTCCTACGGAAGACCTTGTGAATTTCCATTCTTAGTTAATGGGACCTGGCATCATGAGTGCATTCTTGACGAAACTTACGGTGGGCCATGGTGTGCAACCACCTTAAATTATGAATATGATAAAATGTGGGGCATCTGCTTAAAACCAGGTATGTATGGACTAGCAGACTTTATATATGGAAAGAAAATGGATACCATTTATGTGAGGCAAAAGGGAGAAGGAAGAGTCTAAGAGAACTCAAAAATGACTGTAACAAATATTATCCCAGAGAAAGAGTATATATTTGAGGAGAGAGAAGGAGAGAGAAATAATGCGTAGCTATGAATTTGCTTTCAGAAGCAGGCCAAAGCAAGAACCAAGACAGGATGGTGCCATTGAAGACAAAGGAGTAGGAAGAGGAAGTAGAAAAGGCATGAGCCGTTAGGAAATTACGAGTAACCTTTACTAGAGCAGTTTCAAAAGACCAGTGGTCGTGGAAGCCAGGTTATAGTGGACTAGAGTATGAACAGAAGGAGAGAAAACCTCTTAGGTTTTATGGATTGGAAATGGAGCAAAGGTGGTGTTTTGGGGGTAGATAGGTTGTTTTGGGGGTAGATAGGTTGAAGAAAAACTGTTATGATGGTAGAGACTTAAGTATATTAGTGGCCTGAAGCAAAGAGTAAGGGACGATAGAGACCTATATCCCTGGGACAGCATTGGTGACACTGTTCGTCCTGCCATTTCGGTATATTAGGCAGAGCATTTTTTCTAATAGCTTCTTACTAGAAGGAAACTACGCAGGGTGTTCTAAAGAATTCACTGCTCTTTAGAAAGAGAGAGAGACCAAAGTAACATTTGCATCATGATCTGGTATATAACTGAGACATATCTTCTTACCAGCCATATGAAAGTTATATGAGGTCATAGTACCTGACATGTGGTAAGTGCTCCAGAAATATTTTTAAATAAGCAATTGGTTGGAAGAATGTATAATAAAGAGTAAGGGAAAAGCTCCAGACCTACATAATAGTAAATACTTATAGGGCCCTGCCAAGTGGCAGGTACTAGTCTAAGCACTCAAACTATATTAATCCATTCAATCTTCACACAACCCTGTAAGGTAGGTACCACTATTTATGCTCATTTTACAGATGAGCAAAGTGAGGCATGGGGGAGTTACAACACTTGCCTAAGGTCACTTAGCTATACATTTTAGATCTAAGATTCAAATCTAGGAAATCGAGTTTTGAAGTCCTTGCCTTAACTATACTATCATGCCTCTTCCAGTAGCCAAGCTGGTGATATTACTAATACTGATCCCTCTTTAAAGGAAGCTGAGTTCAAAATGAAGAGTTCTAAGCAACTAGAAGAGGTTATTCTGAGTTAGTGGTTCTGCAGCTGAATCACTTGAAAAATTTATTAGAACAAAGAGTTTTGGGGCCCACCTCCAGAAATTATAATGATTATATAGATTTGGAGTTTAGTGAGTTCCCAGATGATGCTGATGATGCTGGTCTGGGGACCACACTTTAAGAATCACTGTTCTGGGTAGACGCACAGGCTTTTCAACACCCAGAACCTACTGAAAGATAAAAGTATTTGCTTTGGCTGCAATTGATACTAGGCAGAGTTTGGTCAACTAGGTGCTGATTTCATATAAACCTCACTATAGTCTGGATCAGAAATTTTCAATGTGAAAGGGAGTTTAGAGGTTATCTAGTGTAAACCCTCATTTTTCAGGTGAGGGGCAGCAGATGCAGATTGATAACATGGCCTATCAGGGTCAGACTGCATTTGTATGGAGCCTGGAGATTCCAGGATCCCTGACCTTCATTCCCCACTGTATTTATCCCACTTTACCATGCTTCCTTGACTATCATGAGTTTCAATGTCTTTAGCTTCCTTTGGGTGGTGAGGGTGAGAATGGTAGCATTCATATACCTCTCAGACTTATTTTTAGGGAAGAAGCAGGACTATGAATTTCTCAAAGCTGAGGATTGTTAAACCATGCAGATTGTATTTTATAGCAAACATACTGCCATCCCACTGGAAGCTCCTGGATTTACAGACATAAGGCCCCAGTGGTAATAAGGAATTTTTAGGCAATATACTTACAAATCCACCCATTTTGTTTTCACCAAATATCACATTCAACTCAGTTGCTATTTAGGACATTCAAATGTGTCTGAAGAAGCAGTGTGTGCTGTTCAGAAGATCAACAAGACCAGATTTAGACTAGTGTTCTGATTATAGCTCTGTCACAAACACTGCTAGATCTTTGTTTCCATCTGTGAAATGAGAGCATTAGACAAAATGTTCTCAGAGGACCCTTCCAGCTTGAAAGACCATAAGTCTAGCATGTGATAGAAGACTGGTTATGGGAAGCCCTTTGGAAAACTCCCTGAGTGGAGCCTGGGACACCCTTGACATTGTCTATATTGCATTTCTTTTTCTAGAGAGTATTTTTAAACCACTTGTGTCAAGACCTATATAACTCATCTAAGAAATAATTTGAAAAGTCTGTCTGAAACTATACATGCTTTTTAGATATTTGTTAAAGAAAATATGCACATTATACAATGAACATGTATATCTGTATACATATGCACACATATCTACATATACATCTACAATATTATATAATATTAATTTGGGTCATATATTAAATAATCTGTTAAAACATTAAGAAGATATTTAGACTGAGTTTTTAAAGTAAGGTAGTCACTTAGATTCTAAATCTTGGGGATTTAAGCAGCATGTCTGCACATACACATGTACATACACACAGTGTTTCACTGCAGGCTGTAGGCAAACCCCTCCGCAGTCTGCCACCATTTTCAAGTGAGCTTGTTTTCCATCAGCCCAGGAATTTGACAATGTGAGCACATTCAAAGACTCCTACATTTAGGCAGAGGACCAGCATGGGCTAAAATATGGCATTGTAATTGACAGGGAATAAAAGGAGAGTAGAGGATAGGAGAATGGAAGCTTTAATCAGCCAAAGTCATTTGTTTCCCATGACTTCAATTTCTTTGTGTAACCAAAGAGTCAAAATATGGTCTAGCCAAACAATAAGCTTCAATTTTAGTGTATCCTTAGAGTATGGAAATTGAATTGCAGTATTGGTAAGCACTCTTAGTAATATAAAACACTATTCCCTTACTTTATGATCCCTAACATATCTTTTTATCAACAGAAAATGGCTGTGAAGATAATTGGGAAAAGAATGAGCAGATTGGAAGTTGCTACCAATTTAATACTCAAGCCACTCTTTCTTGGAAGGAAGCTTACATTTCATGTCAGAATCAAGGAGCTGACTTACTGAGCATCAGCAATGCTGCTGAATTAACTTATCTTAAAGGTAGGTTTGCATGTGGTAGAGCAAATTGCTGGGATTGTAAAGATGGCGTCTGTCTACCTCTATTTTCATATCCAGGTGTGTTGTTTTCTGTATATATTTTTCTGTCTTCTCTTAATTGTCAACACTGAAGCCCATAGGCAGAAATGTATGCATATAATCCTATTCTATCCTTTGAAAATGCATTTCATGTTGGAGACTGAAAAGAGGTTAATGTTCAGAAAATGGTGTCAGGTAGCAAATTAAACTGCTACTCTAAGCCTAAGTGACAAGATTTTTTTTAAGGTGAACATTAGACTCTTTGAAAAGTAGAGAGGAAGGTGAAGAAGATGGCCAAGTCACACTAGATGGCATCAGTGCCATGTCCTTGTGTTGAGTAGAGGAGTGTCATCCTCAAAGGCAAGGCAATGTCTAAGAAATCTTAAAGTGGATTTAATGAATGGACACATAGAGTGAATAGGATTTTGTTTTGTTTGTGGGAATTCTTAAATTTTTAATTATGAAAACATATATATATATATATACAAAAAATAGAAAGTAACCTGAAAGAGACTTGTGTAACCACTACCCTGACTTACATACTCTATACACTAGACATTTCATTATATTGCTTTACATGGATCGATTCCCTCCCCCCTTCCCTTTTTCCCTTATGTTAAAGAAATAAAATGTTAACAGAGTAAAAGCCCCATGTCCATCTCTCAAAATAACTATTCTTTGAGTACTTTTACTATATATATATATGGTATATATTATATATATAATATATACTATATATACTTTATATTTATATATATTTATATATAATATATACTATATATATACTTTATATATATTTATATATAATATATACTATATATAATATATACTATATAAATTTTTATATATATATTTACTATATATTTATATACCATTTATGTTTTCATTATACTATTCTGTTTTTACATGATATAAATACTTATTTGCCCATTTATAGGTTTATCCATTGTTAACTGCTGCTGTAAAGTATCCATTGTCAACTGCTGCTGTAAAGTATTACAATAAACCACAATTTATCCATGCCCTATTGAGAAACAGGTTGTTTTCAGTTTTTCCTATTACAAACACCTCTGCAGGGAACATCCTCATTTGTGCCTCATGGGGCAGACATGTATGAGAATTTCTCTAGAGTTAGGAATTGCTGAGTTATGGGGTGTACATATTTTCACTTATAATAAAAAATTCCAAAAAAAAAATCCAAATTGCTTTCCAAAGGGGTTATATTCATTTAAATCTCCACTAGCATCTGGTGTTATCAGATTTAGTTGGCCAATATGATGAATGTGAAACAGTATTTCATATTTTCTTTTATATTTTCCTGATAATTCTTGTGGTTTTGTGTCTCATGCTTATTAGGCTTTCAGGTCTTCAGTTTATAATCTGCTAGTTGATATCCCTTGCCTGTTTTCTATTGAGTTGTTTGGCTTTTTCTTATTGATCTGTTATAGTTCTTTATATATACTTATCTTTTGTTGTAGGATTACAAATAACTTTTCCTAATCTTTAGTCTTTTTGCTTTTGTTTTTTCTTATCATTTAAAAATATGTTAATTTTAATTTGGTCAATCTTTTCCTTACTGTTTAGTACTTACTTATATTATCTGGCAAATTCTTTCTTAGCCCTAATATGATAATCCTCTCATTTTTCTTCCAAAAGTTTATAATTTTGCTCTTCATATTTATATCCATAATCCACCTGGAATAAAATTTCTAGAGGAGGAACTCTAATTGATCTTTCTCTACATGGATGTCAGTTGACCAAGCACTATTTATTTCACATTTTTCCCTCAGATTTGTTATGCCACCTCCAGTAAATATAAACTCCCCTGTTACATGTGGATTGTTTCTATGCTCTCCATCCTATTCCTTTGGTCTACTTGTCTGTCTGTGTGTCTGTTCCACACTGTTTTAATTATGCCAGCTGCACGGGAAATATGGATGAGCAAGTCCTCTCTTATTTTTTTTAAGATTTTATTTATTTATTCGTGAGAGACAAGAGAGAGGCACAGACATAGGCAGAGGGAGAAGCAGGCTCCATGCAGGGAGCCCGATGTGGGAATTTATCCCAGGTCTTCAGGATCACACCCTGGGCCGAAGGTGGCAATAAACCACTGAGCCACCCAGGCTGCCCTCTCTTATTTTTTTTCTTGAATTGCCTTGGCTATTTTTTTTAACCACTTCTTCTTTTCCATGAATTTAAGGATCACCTTATTAATCTCAATGAAAAATTTTATTGGGACTTTGGAATTGCATTGAATTATAGATTAATTAAAGAGGCACTACTGTCACTACATTATTAAGTCTTCTCATACATGAAAATGGTATGCCTTTCTACTTATTTGGGACATCTTTTATGTATTCAGTAAAATTCTATAACTTTTTCCATCAGAGTATTGCACATCTTTTACTAGAAAGTTTATAAACAGAAAGTCTCTATTTAATTTTTAAAAAACAAGAAACCTGGGATGACTGGGTGGCTCAGTTGGTTGAGCATCTGACTCTTGATTTTATCTCAGGTCATAATCTCAGGGTCAAGGGATAGAGAGCCCTGCATGGAACTCCACTCTGTGGGGAGTCTGCTTCTCTCCTTCTCTCTCTGCTCCTTCCCTGCCCTTGCTTTCTCTCTCTCTAAAAAATAATAATAATAATAATAATAATTAAATCTTGGGGTGTTTGGGTGGCTCAGTTGGGTAAGCATCTGCATTCAGCTCAGGTCATGATCCCAGGGTCCTGGGATGGAGCCCCACATTGGGCTCCCTGTTCAGTGCAGAATCTGCTTCTTTCTCTCCCTCTATTTCTCCCCCCGGCCTGTGCTCACTCTCTCTCTCTCTCTCTCTCTCTCTCTCTCTCTCAAATAAATAAATAAATAAATAAATAAAATCTTTGAAATAAAATAATCTTTTAAGAAATCAAGAAACCCAAGTTACTGAGTCTCTGATAATTTGAATGAAAAAATAAATTATATGACAGTAGTGATGTTTCAGACTGAAACTGAGTACTAAATGCTTTTCAGTATCTTATTTAATGTCATATAACAATGCTATGAGGTATAGGTATTTCTATTATTATACTCACTTTGCAGATGAGGAATGTGAGGATCAGAGAGGAAGTGTAATTTGCTCAAGGTCACATACAAGTAATTAGCAGAGCCAAAATTTGAACACAATCAATCTGACTTGAAATAAAGTTGTAGGGGATCCCTGGGTGGCTCAGTGGTTTGACGCCTGCCTTTGGCCCAGGGCTTGATCCTGGAGTCCCGGGATCAAGTCCTGCGTCGGGCTCCCGGCGTGGAGCCTGCTTCTCCCTCCTCCTGTGTCTCTGCCTCTCTCTCTCTCTCTCTCTCTCTCTCTCTCTCTCTCTCTCTATGTTTATCATAAATAAATAAATCTTTAAAAAAAAAGAAAGTTGTATCCATCATTCATCTATCTGCATTTACCTTTTACAAGACTAGTAAGTTTTTTGCAGGAAGAGTTGGGCCTCATGAGTTTTTCCCTTTTGCACAAAACTCTAAGCATTATTGCTACATATGAAACAAACACCTATTCCTAGATATAATTCAGAGAAATTCTATCACACTGTTTTATAATAAGTATAAATATTTGCTAAATTCAAACTGTGAGTAAAACCCTAATATCTCCAGATAAATCACATAATTTAATCATCATCCAACCGGGGACGCCTGGGTGGCTCAGCATTTGAACATGTCTGCCTTTGGCTCAGGGCGTGATCCTGGTCCAGGGATCAAGTCCCACATCAGGCTCCCTGTGAGGAATCTGCTTCTCCCTCTATCTGTGTCTCTGCTTCTCTATGTGTCTCTCAGAAATAAATAAATAAAATCTTTAAAAAAATCATCATCCAATCTCATAAGACAAGTATTTTTATTCCCATTTACAGATAAGGAAATTGGCGTTTAGAAATAACATACCCAAGATCACATGGCTGAGAAGTACCAGAACTGGGATTCAAATATCAACATATATGACTCCATAGCTCTTACTTTTTTTTACTATACTATTTGCTTCTCTTACGTATTTTTTTTCTTTTCATCATTAATAGTCTAGTAGACTTTTGTCATGCCTTTTAGCTAATGCTTTGTTCAGCCCTCCTTTCTTACTTACAGCTTTACCCTTTTCCTATGTTGTTTGGTCCTTGAATAATCAGACCCTGATGGGCTAGTGGTTCAATGGAATTCTTTTCCAGACCTCACTGAACCTTACAAAGAATATTGTTGAAAGTAAAAAGTGCCAATAAATTTAAGACTACTGGAATATTGACATTTGAAAACAAATGTTCTCAGTAAAGGACAAATGTGTGACTATCAAAATCATAACAACTAATGATGCATTGGGAAGAATGAATGTTGCATGATTCCTTTATGCGTCATTTCTCTTTAATAACTCATAAAAGTGAGATAATACACTAAGTGGTCCCCCTGTGCTCCAGGCCAGATACTCCCATTTTATGTATATCAATAATTTTAGAGATACACCCTTTCTAATCTTCCAACCTCCTCTTTCACTGTGAATGCTGTTTAAGTGTATTGTAATTATTTTAACCTAATTATAATTGCTAGTTTCCCAATACCCAAGCTGTATTTTTTTTTTAAGATTTATTTATTTATCATAGACAGAGAGACACAGAGAGCCAGAGACACAGGAGGAGGGAGAAGCAGGCTCCATGCCGGGAGCCTGACGTGGGACTCGATCCCGGGACTCCAGGATCGCGCCCTGGGCCAAAGGCAGGTGCCAAACTGCTGAGCCACCCAGGGATTCCCCCCCCCCCAAGCTGTATTTTTAGCATCTGAATCTCAGAGTATCCAATATTGAAAATTTATTGAAGTTTCTCTTTTTACTGAAAACTGCCATGTGTAAACATTGGGCTAGGGGAGTGAGGCCAACAAAAGTGAATCAGACAATGATTTTGTGATCTAGATGCTTCATCTACTTGGGGAAATAAGAGCTGTACATATTCAGAGCATAATGGAGAACGTATTCTCAAATGACTTCTGATCTGATAGCTAGTGGTTGGATGGGACTAGAGAATCTACTGCCAGAAAAAAGGCAGAAACAGTCCCTTGAAAATAAGTCCCATGTAATCTAAAAGAGGTTGTTTTTTTTTGTTTTGTTTTGTTTTTTCTTCCTGCCCTATACTTAGTTTTGTTTTACTAATACAGGGGCTTCTGGAGTGGATGATTTGGTTTCCTTACACTCACTAGATTTTGTTTGGAAGTTAGATTTCCCATGGCTCTGGCCTTCCTAGAGAACCTCTAACCACATACTCATTCCAGAGCTACAAAACAGGACCCAGTAGTCCCCAGAGCAGGAATAGCACATTTGCATTTTCCTCCACCCTGAAGTGTTATTCACTTTGAGTGGCCTCTGACAGGTTCTCCAAGGCTAGGACACTTATAAGTCAGGGTCCTTGCTGGTGTTGCCTTTCTAATGCATTAGAAGTTCTTCTCTGGCTCATTCCAGGTGCATTACCATGATCAGGACTGTAGTGTCCCTTGTGGAGAGAGGAATAGAAATAGAGGGTCAAGTCTGAACAGGTTTTAGGGACAGTGACAATTCTACTTCAGTGAACTCACCTATTTGATTTGATTAGGTATGAGGATTTATGCTAGCAGTCATCTGTTTCCTGATGGCAAAGATGGAGGTAAGCTAAGTCTCAAATTGGTCATCTTCTTGCTTGGATTGTATGTAGGAAAAAAGTCTAGCTTCAGATTGTCCAAGCCATAAATGAAATATCTGCCTTTCATATTTGACAACCTGAATTTTTAGAATCCATTTCCCACTCTCACCTGGCATAAAACACATAAAGAACATTCCTGTTTTCCAACACGGTCACAATTTTGAAATCCTATGATTCTACTGAAGAATAAGTCATCAGTATGGCTCACGAATAGGACAGTGTAATGAAGCAAATTAGGAACCTAACAGATTCCAAAGTTCATTTTGTTTCTTTATAAATGTGTCCTTACCATGTGCAGGTAAGTGATGGGATTATTCAGATGTCCTGCCGGGGATATCGGAAAAGTCTTCATGGAAGGGAAAGTATTGAGTTTGGATGGGCTAGAAGGATTGGTCTTCCATAGTATCCCCAGTTAAAAATTAATAAAGGGAATTCTGAGTGTCCTGTATGATTGAGTCTGAAGTACCATATTTATGTCATAGTTTCCAGAACTTCTTTAGGAAGGCTGGGGAATCAACTGCTTTTATGAATGAGAAATTTACATTAGATTAAATCTTCAATTTGTACGCCAGTGCTTATGCTAACCAGGTGAAAGAAAAAGATGAATCCAAAGTTTCCTTCAGCATTCTCCCAAGCCATCTACCCAAATACCCACCTTTTACTTCCTTATAGAGTATCTTTACCATCTATTTCCTTGAGAAAAGTGAAGCAAACCCTTAGATTTCCTTCCTCGTACTTAGAAATTTATCTGTATCTGTCATCCCTCCAGTTTGCTCAAGGTTAACTCCTTCTCCAAAGCTCTTTGCATCCACACCAGCTGTTTATTCCCTCTCTTAAATTTTCATTGACTCTCCTCACTCTGCTTACTCTTTCCCAACAGGCCATAAACTTATTTAAACTTCTACCATTAAAGTATAGATAGATAGAAGTAGATATAGATGTGGATATATAGATACAGATGTAGATATAGATTCAGATGCAGATACAGTGTATCTTTGCAATTCACTCCCCTAACTTCACATCTGTTCCTCAGTGGAGTGGTAATTAGGCCTCTGCTCCTACCACCCTCTTTCACAAACCCCTGCCCATCCCTTTAATATTGATGTCTGGGTTATTGCTCTTGGCCCCTTTCATCTTTGCTGTTGCTATTTCTGCTCTATACAGGGGAGCTTTTCCACTCCCTTGGTGTCAGTTCTGTTTTAGGCATTTATGTTCTAAAGTCTGCAGTAAGGCAAAAATTGAATATAGTCAAAACTACCCTCAAAAAGCCCTTAGAGTCTGGATATAGTTTTCTATATGCAAATTATACATATATCAGATATTTTTGTGTGATTTACATCTAGAAAATATCCAAATTTCAAGAACCGTTTTTATGTATATAAGGTACACACAAATTATATAAAAGATAATTATATCAATATAAATTTAATTATTTTAAAATTTTATAAATTATATTTTATAGTTTATATAAAAGTTATCTTAAACATGAATATTTTATAAATATTATCATTATAAATATGATTATATTTTATATAAATATAGAGAGATTATGTATATAATTTAATAATGTATCTACATAATTCCCAGAGGAACTAAGAAGCTGTTACTAAGTGTTTAAATGCTGAGAATATTTCAACAAATATATTCCAACCTGTCAGCTCTTCCTATTGTTAGCATCATCCTTATCTTCCGTAGATCATTTCATCAGGTGTTCTATCTCTTTTACTTGGCCTTCAACATCTTCAGGTTCTTTTTTCATGATGTTGATAAAGTCTTACCAGGTTTTTGAATAATTTTGTTGACTTTCTTGGTACTGGTGTGAAAATCCTTACAATCTTTTCAGTTTACCAATACACGTGGACACATATAAGCATGATTGCATCCATTGCTTGTGGGCATATATATATTGACTGGCATATCTGCAACTAGCCTCACTATTTAAATTATCTCTGCTTCTCTATCTTTGTCTCTTTCTCGCTGATGGCTTCTGATAGTCAAGTAATGAATTTGAGTGATACATCTCCACTGTAGTCTGTGCGTGTATGTCTTGTTCTGTGGCTCCATCCTAAATATCTCCTTTGGACTCTAGGGTTGTATATTACATTGCCTACCAAACAGTTCCAATACATATTTCTGAAGCAGTATGGGTAACACTTTACCTTTTGAGGGGTCTACATCTGGTTCTGTCCATAAATTGAAGTCCTCATGGGGACAGGGACTTTGTCTTTTGTTTTTTATATCCTTAGTACCAGTTAAATGATATGTGCTTAATGAACTTAAACTGTCAGTCTGGAATAGTCAGTTCTTCAAAATCTAGATATACAGTAGAAACTGTTTTTATTATTTCTAAAAATAGCTGTTTCACTATTTTTAACTCTCTTGTACTGATACTTTGAGAAGTGAAACAGCTATTTTGAGAAGATTTTGTTCTTACCTTAGAAGAAAGGGACCCGCAGGCTGCTTGAATGGCGGAGGCCAGCTCAAGGCCCCCGACGTGCCCAGCAAGGAGCTTCTCCAGCAGGTTGAGATGCTGTACGGCATGGTTAGGACGGAGGTGCCAGAGGACGTGCCTGGCGTCCAGGAACTGTATAGGAGCTGGCTGCAGGGTAAGGCTCAGAGCAGGCTGGCCGCCTGCTGCACACAAGCTACCATGCGGTGGAGAAGGCCAGCTCCGGCCTCAGCATCAGGTGGTAGGAGGCCTCCTCACAGGTCTGCTGGGCCTACCACAGCCAGTCCTGGGACCCCAGGGATCGCCCCCAAAACACCGAGTGGCAGGGATGTGTTGGAAGCCACACAGAAACAGGACTTGGACCCATAGCCAGTGAAGGTGACCTCAAGCCTGCACTCACCCAGACTCCCCATGGCAGGAGGCCCAAGGTTCCCCAAGGTCCCAGAACCTCGCCGTGGGCCCAAGTCTGTGAGCAGTGTCCTCGTGAGGGCCTGTCTTGTGAGCAGCTTAAGGGAGAGCTGGGACCCCTCCCCATGTCTGGAGTCACCCCCCTGAAGCAGGGTTGGCCAGGCTAGTCAAGCTCCTTGCCCAGGGTGAGGAGCCCTCCTGCACTGGTCAGCAGTGGACGCTGGCAGGAGAGGAGCACCCAGCCCACAGCACCTGTGCTGGGGATGGAGTACCTGCCCCACCTGGAACTGGGTGTTGAGGACGCTGTGGCTTCTGGGACCTGAGAACTTGCGTTTCTGGGCAGTGTTCCAGGTGGGAAGCAGGTTCTGTTGATCAGGCAGGAAGTCCCGTCCCACAGCTGGGCCCCCCCGACCGGGTGGGGGAGAGGACAGATTGCGCTGAGCCCACCAGGCTTGTCACCACAGAGCTCCAAATCTAATAAAGGGATCTCTCTGAAAAAAAAAAAAAAAAAAAAGGGATCCCTGGGTGGCGCAGCGGTTTGGCGCCTGCCTTTGGCCCAGGGCGCGATCCTGGAGACCCGGGATCGAATCCCACGTCGGGCTCCCGGTGCATGAAGCCTGCTTCTCCCTCTGCCTATGTCTCTGCCTTGTCTCTGCCTCTCTCTCTCTGTATGACTATCATAAATAAATAATTTAAAAAAAATTAAAAAAAAAAAGAAAGGGACAGGCTAATGGAAAAGCAGAATTGAATTAACTTACCAGCCTTTGGCTGGCTTTGGTGGATAGATAGCCTCCTACGGAATTCTTGCCTTACAATCAAGACCTTGAGATTTTCGCTATCAGTAGAAACTTAAATCTGACTTAGATAATAATTTAGGCAATTTTGTCACTTGTTAAAATTATGTGATCCTTACAGAAAAAGAAGGCATTCCAAGGATTTTCTGGATTGGCCTAAATCAGCTGTACTCTACTAGAGGCTGGGAATGGTCAGACCAGAAGCCATTAAACTTTCTCAACTGGGACCCAGGTAACTTCCCTGTCTTCCACCTACTATGCACAGAGCAAAAGCTTCAAAAAAGTAAATGAACAAAAGCATCCTATTCACTGACAGCTTATAAAATTTTCAAATCTTGACAAATGTTATTATGATTACCTCTCAGAAGAATTTTTCCCCCTAATTCCTTCTTTATTGTGATACCATTACAGCCAAGTTGAACCATACCATGGATAACTGAGCATTTGTCTCTAACCTTTATGGCAACCGTACTTTTTAGGTAACAGCAGAATAAGCCCCATAACATGACATGTCTGTGACTAACCTGTGTTGTTTCATCTGCAACTCAACTTCATACAGAAATATACTCTCATTTTAAAACTCTTGGGATCTCCTACAATACTTCTCAAGTCCTGACAACATAATGGTTGTATTTTATGACATAAATAAATACCTTAAAGAAAACTTTATAGTTAATAAAACCAACAAAACCTTACTTAGCCAAAAGATTTTTCTCCCCAAAATAAGTTTAGGTACTCTTTTAAAAAATAAAATCTTAGGCTTCTGACAAATATAGACTCTAAATGTTAACACTAGATTCAGTATTTTTTTAAAAAGTGTTCTGTATACATATAAGAAAAATGGGTTAAGTACAATAAAATACCAATAGGTCATTTTAACTTAATGAAATTTCATTGAATTAATGAATTAATTCTCTATTCAGTTAATAAAATCTTCAAAGATAATTTAACTTTTAATTCAAGGTCTTAAGAGCATTACAGAATCATAAATTAGTATTTATTGTATAGAGTAGCAGATTAAGAACTACTGTCTGCAGGATATGATATGGAAGTTGATTGGGGGCAGAGATTTGTTTTGGTTTTTGGTTTTGTTTTTTAAATTACCTATATAGTGTATCAGAGCGTTTCACCCTGTATTCTGTATTTTAGAAAGAAGACATATTTAAGAACATGAATGTTTATTGAGGCGTCTACATCTCAATTTAGTAGAAGGTTTTAACTATTTTGAGTTCCAATATAATCAGAAAATTAGAAATACAAATTATTTTTTCTAACCACCACTTGGCCCTAACCTTTTCTTTTTAATTTTTTGAATTTTCTACCGTTTAAGATATGCCGAGTGCACCAATGATCATAGGTGGATCAAGCTGTGCAAGAATGGATGCCATGTCTGGTTTATGGCAGAGTTTTTCCTGTGAAGTTCAATTGCCCTATGTCTGCAAGAAACCCTTAAATAACACGGTGGAGTTAACAGGTATCTTTCTCATTTCATTGTGCAAATAGGTCTTAAAATTATAGTTTTGTGAAGTCCAATAAAATCCATCTCAGACATCTATTTTCACCTTTCCTTCACCTGGTACTACCAATGCCAAAAATTACTTTGTTTAGACCCTGTGGTTGGGTATTATCAACTATATATGCATAAAGCTTTGGTTTGGTATATCCCCATAAGAAGGCAGAGGTATCCTAGGTAAGAAATATGTTTCTATTCACAGAGGTGGCTCTTTTTTCATTAGAGCAGTGGTTCTCAGAGTGTGGTTTTTAGACCAATAGTATCAGTGTCACCTGTACCTGTTTGAAATGCAAATCCCTAGGACCCACCCCAGATTTACCGAATCAAAAACTCTGTGGGCCCCAACAATCTGTGTTTTAAGAAGCTTTCCTGGAGATGCTGATGCACATTCACGTCTTATGTATAATTTGCCTCTGTGAGAAATCAAAAACGGTAGACGGTGGAACTCTCCTGGGATTTCCAGCTCCTGCCCCATGATGCCCATCCCTGTTCTGTCCTTCTTTGCCAGGCTGATTTTTTAGGTTGTTGTGTTGATAAATCAGGTAGAAAAGCAGAGGTGCAGAAGGACAAAATGTGTACAAGGAGGGGGGGTTTCAAGGGATTTCAGGGGTAAGAGAAACAGAAGAGTTGAAGTTTCTGAAGTACAGAGAAACTTCAGAAGCCTTTGAAAGAATAAGAGGAGTGCCCTTACTGTCTTGCACAAGGCCCAGCACATACCTGGTATTTGATTAAATCCTTCTGAATAAGAGAAACTAATACTCAAACCTGGGAGGAAAAAAGGTTTTAAAATGTCTTGTTTAAAGAATGTTGGGGGAAGGAGATAAAATTTCTTGTCCATAGAGGAGCATAAAGCTATTTTTTAAGACTAAAAAATAAAGATTGTCAGATGTTTTTTATTAAAATACTAGGGGAAAATGAACATTCATCTTCCAGGTTGATTCAAACCAAATTTAGTCCACACACAAAAAGCATAATAGAAAAGACAGCACAGATGAAAATAAACCAGGTGACTGATGATAGATCAAATAAATATCCTGTAGTAGCAATTATTAAATAAATCATGATGTTTCCACATGATTGAATAATATGCATTTATTAAAAATAACTGTGCCAGCAGGAAAATACAAGAGCAGAACAAAATGATATGCCTACTTATTTTAATCTTGTAAAAATATGTTTTCATAGAGACAAAGACTAGAATAGTAAAATGTTTGTTCTAAGTTCAATTATGGGTATTTTTTCCTCTGTTCCTTTATCATAATCGTAAAATAAAATAATTATAATAATAGCATGTTCTATTTCAGAAACTTAAAATTAATTGAGTTATCTTGCAAATGTGAGAAGCTAACTGGACCTGAATTTTATCTCTAAGTAAAGGGCAAACTGTTTACATTTTTAAGTTGCTGTATTTTCATTAAATGGACATTCCAAACAGTTATGAATCCATGAGGTCTGAGTAATTGACTTAATTTCTAATTCTATTAAGAAGGTAAAAAGTATTTTATATGGTTTTATACCTCAGTCTTTTTCTCCAATATTTCTTGACCATCATTTGAGTGAGTTTTAACATGATCTAAACAAAGAATCACTAATTACATGAGGATGTGAATATAGTAGAGGAAAGGAAAGAAGAGATCCAGAGAGGCCTTGGACCCTTTCCCTTTATCATTGTCCTCTCTTTCTTTCTTTCTTTCTTTCTTTCTTTCTTTCTTTCTTTTTTTTTTTTAATGTTTACTGAACAGAACCAAATTCATTGAGCGTTCCTAGTGTTCCTGCCACCACACCAGGTACTCTGAGGAGCAGAGCAAGATTTTTTTTAAAATTTTTTTATTTATTATTTATGATAGTCACACAGAGAGAGAGGCAGAGACACAGGCAGAGGGAGAAGCAGGCTCCATGCACCGGGAGCCCAACGTGGGATTCGATCCCGGGTCTCCAGGATCGCGCCCTGGGCCAAAGGCAGGCGCCAAACCGCTGCGCCACCCAGGGATCCCTTGTCCTCTCTTTCATGTGGAGTTTATAAATGTTTTACTCTATTCCTTAAATCTTTATCCTTTGTCCAACAGTAGGCATGAATGCACATCCCCTTACCAATCTTTTAAGATTTTTTAATTTATTCATGAGAGACAGAGAGAGAGAGGCAGAGACATAGACAGAAGAAGAAGCAGGCTCCCTGCGAGGAGCCTGATGCAGGACCCCCGGAATCATGACCTGAGCCAATGGCAGATACTCAACCACTGAGCCACCCAGGTGCTCCTCCTCTTGCTAATCTGACATACATGACCATACATGAATCTGGACTTCATAACCTTTCAAAGTCAGAGACTAGAGGGGAACCTAACAAATCCCATACCAAGGAAGAGATATGTCAGTGACTGACTTACCCCACACCATTCGTCTATCTATTGGGACTAAGGGAATTCCCTCCTCAAATAGTTGGAGCCCAATCATGTGGCACATTTGTATCACATTGCAGTTATATCATTATCTGTATCCCATCACTCTTGTGATGCCATGTAGAATGAGGCACCACATAAAGTCATGTCCTTATGCCCTTTGACATCACATTCCCTAGTTTTCCAGAATCCTGATGATTTAAGAAGGAAGAATTTGGAATGTTTTTGATTCAAAATAGATGTATCTTTACTGGAATATAAATAGCTGCTTTTCTTGCAGATGTTTGGACATATTCAGATACACACTGTGATGCAGGCTGGCTGTCAAATAATGGGTTTTGCTATCTGCTGGTAAATGAAAGTGATTCCTGGGATAAGGCACAAACAAAATGCAAAGCCTTAAACAGCGATCTCATCAGCATTCATTCTTTAGCAGATGTGGAGGTGGTTGTCACAAAACTCCATAATGGGGGTAAGTTTTTAAATTTTCCTATTTGAGAGGTTTAAAACATTCTAAGGTACCCCTATTTTTAGACTCTTAGTGGGAATGAAAGCCTACAATTTGATCCTTACAGATCGGTACTATCCAATAGAATTTTCTGTGATGATGGAGCTGTTCTATAATCTGTGCTGTCCAGTATAGCTGCCACCAGCCATTTGTGGCTTGTGAGCTTGTGGAACTGATTTTTACTTTTATTTCATTTTTGTTATTTTACAAATAGGCATATGTAGCTAGTAGCTACCAATTTGATAGTATAGCCAGTGATTGAATAATTTCCCTCCTCTCATAAGCTAAATGCTATTTAATTTGCTCCAGATGCTTAAGTGATGATAATTTCATGATTATTTCACTTTTGTAATTATTTAAAAGCTAAAGACTTGGGATCCCTGGGTGGCACAGCGGTTTAGCGCCTGCCTTTGGCCCAGGGCGTGATCCTGGAGACCCAGGATCGAATCCCACGTCGGGCTCCCGGTGCATGGAGCCTGCTTCTCCCTCTCCCTGTGTCTCTGCCTCTCTCTCTCTGTGTGTGTGACTATCATAAATAAATAAAAAAAATTTAAAAAAAAAAAAGCTAAAGACTGAAGAACAAAAATAAGCTAGACAGGCAGTATTATATCCTCCTCCTAGGATTCACTAATAGTAATAGCTAATAATAAACACCTCTTCTATGTCAGCATGGTGTTAATTGTTTCCCCTGGGAAGGCAGCAGCATCATCCAAGGGTAGGGATGGACGTCAATCCCATTCTGACTCAATTTGTAGAATTTCATTATAGGTTTCCCCTGCTATCCAAAAGTAGATTGTTCTTATGAAATCTTTCATAAACCAAAATGGCATAAAACTAAGAAGTGAACACCATTTAATAAAAGCTAAATCCTCTTCAGATTTCTTTCACTTAGTGAAAACAGGTACATATGTCTTTCGTAAAAGTGAAGTGGCAGAAAGAGCAGAGGAAACCTGTATACCCCATAGAGCAAGGTTTATCTAAACTAGATAGGGAACACTTAACCTATAGATCATAGCATGGTTGTTCCACTACGTACTCTGCCTATATACGTACTCTGAAAAGCACTCAACCCCTGGACTGCCTAAATGAGCAATGTTTTCATAGATTAATTACAAATACCACTGAGACTCCTAAAACCCCATTATCAGAATGTAAAAATCAGTAACAATGTACATAATGAGGTATGTAATTGAGTAAAAGCAAATAAAATATTTTTCTTTTAGATGCCAAAGAAGAAATATGGATAGGTCTTAAGAACAAAAATGTACCAACTTTATTTCAGTGGTCTGATGGTACAGAAGTTACTCTAACATATTGGAATAAGAATGAGCCAAATGTTCCCTACAATAAGACTCCCAACTGCGTTTCCTATTTAGGAAAGGTAGGAAACCTCCTGTGGCTTACTTATATTCTTATTGTATACCAAATAATAATAGTAAGATGACTTTGGTTGAGATATTTGTGTTTGGGCTGGAAAAGAAAATAAAAGGTAAGAGCCCTATAGATTGTCTTTCCAGAAGCTACTGGAAAAAAATAGGTAAATAACACAATGACTAAATAAGCAATCCACTTCCTGTCTGAGAGTATCTGGTCTGGTCTGAAACACATAAAAGGAAATCCTGTTAGAACTCAACTTTTATGCCAGATTGGTTCTAATAAGCTGCTTTCTCTCTGGACCGTCAATGTGATATTTAACATATAGCTACAATTTAAGGGAAAAATTCCATCTTCTTAATTCATCTTCAAATTTTTATATTACTTTGAGAAGTGAAAAACTATTTTTATTTAAAAATAAGGTCTCAAAAAAAAAAAATAAGGTCTAAGGGCAGCTGGCTGGCTCAGTCAGGGGAGCATGTGACTCATTATCTCCAGTTTGTGAGTTCAAGCCCCATATTGAGGATAGAGACTACTTAAAAAACAAAATTCATAAAAGTAAATAAATTAATTAAAAATTAGGTCTAATGTTTTCTCAGAAAAAATCTTTCTTCTGTAGAATGCTTATTTATTAAACATGCTTTACCTAAGAGTCCAAAATAGGCTCTATTTGAGAGAAAAGACATGCGTATCTCTATATTTTGTTTGTACTGCTTTCCTGGGGACTCCTAATTATCTAGGAGGCTTGTGTCACCCAAACTTCTAGAGAGATGTAAATGGAAGTAATAAATGATATGTGTATTTAGGAGTGTTTCAAGATTAAAGAGGTATTTAGAAAGGTGTCAAAGATAAATTTAGAAGGGTGTCACATTTCATGCTCTATTTAAAAAGATATTTAAGATGTCTTTGGTAGAGTGTCAAAGATAGAGATCCCATAGGCAAGAATAAACTGATAGCATACCTAGATAGCATTCCAGTGTTCAAAACTGACCCTTATCACAATTTACTTTTTGAAATTTAATTTAAAGAAAGCAGGGTGACTTAAGCAAAATTAATGCTAAGTAGCATATTTGAAAGAGATTATTTTGAAGTCTAGGCTGAAGTAGAGTGGAAGGAACTTTTGATTTTGGAATTCTTGGGAGAGTAGCTGTTCTAACTACCATGATTTATATATATATAAATATATGGTTGGTTGACATATCCAAAAGTTTTTAGCCAATGGGCAAACTTAGGCCATGTCATATGAAAGAAGACTAGAACACTGGTGACTGTGTGTAGGCTGAGTTTTTCTTTCTTCAACTTCTATACTAAAAGTCCTTGATTGTTTTACTGTTACTCTAACAAGAAAATAGAATCTTTCCACTATGAATCTAGAGGTGGTGTTGAAATAACAAACTGTGAGCCACAACCTTGCAGGCCTACTGGGTGGCATTTTCTAGGAGTATGTCCCCAGATGTAGTATTTCATTTATAGTCATTTTCTTTTTCCTTCTTCTTCCTCCTTGCCCTGCCCCTTGCTCACAGTTCTGTGAGAAGAAACTATCTTGAGTTAAAATAAGTTAGAGTTCAAGTCTAAATATATGGCAAATAATTTCTCTGTGGGAACTTTTTTTTCTATTTTTAAAAGCTAGGTCAATGGAAAGTCCAGTCATGTGAAGAGAAACTTAAATATGTATGTAAGAAAAAGGGAGAAAAAATGAACGATACAACATCTGATAAGATGTGTCCTCCAGATGAGGTATGTAAAATCCCTGTATAAGTTTTCCTAAGAAGCGTTACACCTTCTTGATTGACGGTGGTAGTTGAGACTGAAACAATTCAGACCTGGAAAGTAGAAGAAATGACTATACCTTCTGTTCACTTATGTTAGAGCAAATCAGAGGACAGTGAATCATAACATATTGGCATTCTTACAATAAGAAAAAATTTTATAGGAAAAAGAGTTACCTATTCATGATTTTTATTTAAAAAAAAAGTATGTGATTGTAATCCTTAATGCTGATATCTTCACTTCCTCCAATTATTTTTTTCCTGTTCAAAAATAGTTCAACCAACAATATTATAGTCTTATGAGGAACTAGGCCTTGGAGGTAAAGAGAAATAAGACACACCTTCCATCTGACACAGGCTCACAGTCCTGGAGGAGTTATCTATGAAGTTGTATCCCACCTTCATCATCTGTATGGATTTACTGGCCATGTCCTTAATTTCTCTAAGTATGAAATGTTACCAGTGTAACAGAATCTTGCTTGTTAGAGGAGGGACATTAATTGATGTATCTCCTCTGATTTAGGGTTGGAAAAGACATGGAGAAACCTGTTACAAGATTTACAAAGATGAGGTCCCTTTTGGAACCAACTGCAATCTGACTATAACTAGCAGGTATGACCATTAGTAAACATGTGCTGGTGAACTTTTAAATCTGGGTTAGTTTTGCTGAATAAGCTTTCTAAGAAAAAAGGTACATCTTCAATTTATATAGTATTCCATCATTGTAAAAACACCTACTAACTTAACCCTTGTTTTGCAGATTTGAGCAAGAATACCTGAATGATATGATTAAAAAGTATACTAAATCTCCAGGAAAATACTTCTGGACTGGCCTGAGAGATATGGATTCACATGGAGAGTATAGTTGGACAGGTGTTGGTGGAGTAAAGCAAGCTGTAACTTTTTCCAACTGGAATTTTTTTGAGCCAGGTGAGTGCCTTAGTCTTGAAAGTAGTGGAATATGATGATTTGTGAAATGCAGTATACCTTCCAGATGTCTTCACTTAGCTTTGAAATGTGAGGAAAATGATAATCTTCAGGATGAGAGTCTATCAATGGAACCATAGATAGAAGCAGTGACTATGTCTTCCTTATTAAATCCTTAGGAATAACCCCAAAAAGGGAGCTAAAAAACTCAGTTCTCAGAAACCACCTATAATGGCACAAAGCTAGAACCATCAGTGCGAGGTTTTTTTTTTTTAATCTTTTCTATGTAAGTCTCAAACAGAATCTAGAAGCTTCATTTTGAAGTGCTTTACATTTTCTTCTCTTTGCTTCTTAACTTCTTTCTCCAAATTTCTCCAAAATTGAATGTGTTTATTTCTATTATTCCGAATGGATGAGTATTAAGGAGGCAATATTGTAGGTATGAAATGTAGTTCATCCTTCTTTAACCAGCTCAAAGTATTGACCATATTTAGCCATAGAATCAGAACCATTTTGAACCAGAAAGGACCTCAGATATCCCTTCTGATTTCAGAGTTGAGAAGATAGTCTCAGAAGGTGATTTACTTAACAAATGTTACCTGGTTATTGAATTGCTAAAATTCAGATCCCTGATTTCTAATCCAGTGCTTTATAGAGGATTTTGGTTTTCTATAAGACTGGAGCTATAAAGCATTCAATTTTTGTTTCTTTGGATTGTTTATATTTTCTTGTTTTTGTACGATGTGATCACAAAGACCACTTTTTATAACCCAGTTACTGGAACATATGAGTGTATAATGAAACACAATACTTGAAATAGAGAATGCCCACAAAATTTGAAATAGATGGTCACCACCATAAATGTAAATGGTATTGATAACAAGGTCATCTTTTTACTTATAGAAGATGGAGGATACAGGTGCTTATCTTGGTGAAATCTCACTTTAGATTATAATGTTCTAATATATAAAACATGGGATTTCTTTTATAGACATTCAGATTTCTTACAGTCAATGTCATATTCTTCATAGATAACCTTCAGTGGTTGGAGAAGAGCTCAGGAAATAGAGCTATTCTCTCAGTTCTATAGCCAGAAAGACTACTATTAATCTCTCTTTACTATAATTACTCCCAACTTCAGCCAGCTTGGTCCATCATGGACAAGACTTGGGTAGGGGGCAGAACAGGGGAAAAATAGGACATCCATCAAGGACAACACAACATTTTTTCTCCCAGTCCCTTGTTTCAATTGCTGTCCAGGTATGAGACATGAGACAATGTTTGTTTGGTGAAATAGAAGTCGTCATTATTTTCCAACTTATGTTCTTCTTGTCTTCTACCCACTTCAAGCAGCGTGGTATAATATAAAAAGGAGCATGGCACTTTGCCAGACAAATCTGGGTTCAAGTGTTGACTCCACTACTCATTAGCTATTGTTGTCGCAAGTCACTTATTCTTCATTTGAGAAATGGATCTGATAATACAAGCAATCTCTTAATGTTGTGAGTAAATAAATTCTGGCTGCCATAAAATAGACAGAAAACAAATGTATGTTACCATATATCTCCTTCAATATTGTACCCCCTATTCCTTTGGATCTGAATCTGAAACAGTCTTGTTTTGAGGGTTACTAAATTGCTGAAAAACTTTTCAAAGTCATTAAGCTAGTATGAATCACTTAGGGTATGCTGAGCAGCTTAGTGATTTCGGGTGCACCTCCATATGCAGACCACCTAGATTCTAGTTCTGGATCAACCACTTACTAACATGTGACCTTGAAAAAGTCACTAATCCTCACTGTACCTTGGTATGGCAATAGAATCCACTCCAGAGGTTTGTTGTAAGGACTGATTCATTTAACCCTGTTAGAATAGTACCAGGGAAGTAATAAACACTGATCTTTATTACCATCATTGTCATTATCATCATCATTATTATAACACATTCCTTTCTACCATTATCTTTTATATCCTTTCTCCAGACCTTGGCCCAAATAAAGGATAAGGACACTAGAAAAATGTTTGGACTTTAATGTTCAAATGTAATGTTTAATTAAACTTTCTGATTCAACCCCAGCTTCCCGAGGTGGGTGTGTGGCTATGGCTACTGGAAATTCTCTTGGAAAGTGGGAGGTGAAAGACTGCAGGAAGTTCAGAGCACTTTCAATTTGCAAGAAAATAAGTGGGCCCGTTGAGCCTGAAGAAGTAGTCCCCAAGCCTGAAGACCCTTGTCCTGAAGGCTGGTATAGTTTCCCCTCAGGTCTTTCTTGTTATAAGGTAAAGTAACATTCTCATTCAGTTCCTTAAAGAGGTTATCTTTCTACTATCCTAGTCCACATACTTGTAGTAGAAATTATGCTCCTCCTCAGGCACATATGTAACCTACCAAGGTGTTTGGGAGCACCACTCATGCCTTTGTCATGAGACAGCTTATCCCCATCTGAATTCATGTCCTACCCAAAAAAGCAGGCCTACAGCCAGAACTGGCTCTTTCCTAGTGTTCTTTTGCCCTGAGACATTAAGTAAGCTACATGCCATGCTGACAATTTGCTTATGATTCTCATATCCTTCTAATCCTTGTTGTCCAATGGAGAATTCTATCACTTCTTATAATTTAAAAAAATCATTTTAGGGCCTGTATCAGTCAGCTGTTCCCAAAAAGAAACCATTACGTAGTATCGTAAAATTCAGTGACTATAACAACAAACATTTAGTCTCATTTCCACAGATCTCTGGGTCAAATAGGGATTGTTTTAGTTCAGGCTTGAATAGTGAGCTCTGGTTTCAACAGTGGGTCAGCTGTGCTGGGCTCCAGGCTATGAGTTGGGATGTGCTACCTTGATCTGGGTCTCAGGCTGAAGGGGCAATAGTTTTTAGGGGCTTGTTCTTACAGTCAATTGTTAAAGCCTAAGAGGCAAGCCTAACCATTTAAGCACATTTCAGGTCTCTATTCACTTTACCTCCACTAACATGCCATTGATCGCAGCAAGTCACATGGCCTGAGCCCAAATCTAGGTATAGGGAAGTACACTTTACCCACCAGGAGGTCATGGCAAAAACGTAAAATTGTATCACAGGGAACTGAAGAATAATTCAATCTCCTTCTGTTCCTTTTTTGAAAAAAAATTAGTCATCACAAACGAAAGATGGCAAGTTTTGCTTTGCACCTTCTGTTCATGTTAGCAGGGCAATCTGCTGTTTCATTCATCCTCATCAGAAAACAGGCCTGTACTTGTATAGGTTTCATTGTGCTATGTTCATAATTATGTTTTTAGCATATTTCTCTGCAGAAGTCTACTCCCAAAGTATTCATATGTATCCTTGATAGCGTTACCTACTGGTCCTAGGAATGCAGGAGAATGTGGTGTCTTGTTGGAGCAGTTTCCCATCCTGACTAAGGAAGGTCATCCATCTGACAGCAGTAGCTGGCCTTTAGTTGACACTTCCAGCAGGTCTTGGTTGTATCCCAGTATATGTTTTTTTTTATTTATATATATATTTTTTTTAATTGAAGTGTTATTTGCCATATACATATAGTATGACACCCCGTGCTCATCCCGTCAAGTGCCCCCCCTCAGTGCCCATCACCCAGTCACCCCATCCCCCAACCTGCCTCCCCTTCCAGTATCCGTTGTTCATTTCCCAGAGTGAGGAGTCTCTCATGGTTTGTCACCCTCTAATTTTTCCCACTCATTTTCTCTCCTTTCCCCTATAATCCCTTTCACTATTTCTTATATTCCCTGTATGAGTGAAACCATATAATGATTGTCCTTCTCTGACTGACAGGTAAAAATAAGAACATTTTCCTGTTATTTTCACACCTATAAGAATCCATTTCAGAAGCCTACACATTTGAATCAAAGAAACAAAATAAATGAACAAGGGGGAAAAAAAGAGACAAACCAAAACCAGACTCTTAACTATAGAGACAAACTGATGGTTACCAGAAGGGGGGGGGGGGACAGTGGGTGAAATAGGTGATGGAGATTAAGGAGTGCACTTGGCGATGAGCACTGAGTGAATGTACTGAACTGCTGACTCACTGTATTCACCTGAAACTAGTAGAACACTGTGTGTTAATTCTATTTGAATTAAAATTCAAAGACTTAATTAAAAACCTACACTTTTTATACATAATAGACTTGGAAATTATGACTATTTTATGATCATGCCAGAAAAGAGATTAACACTGTGTTTTGTTAAGCTGTTTAATATAGAAAGAATCGTAAGAAAAAGGAACTGGGAGGAAGCTGAGAGGTTCTGCCGAGCTCTTGGAGGACACCTTCCCAGCTTCACTCAGATGGAGGAAATAAAGGGATTTCTTCACTTCCTCATGGACCAGTTCAGGTAATACTTTGAGGATGAGATCTTCTGTGCTGAATCTGATGCTCTCCAGGTACTCAGAATTGACATGTTTATTTTCTAAAGGGTCATTCAGTGCTTGGCAGTCTGTCAATATCAAATATTTTTATGCGCAAGACACTATGAATAATTTGAAGATGAGGGAGATAGAATCACCCTCCTTTGTGTAGCATAATAAATTCTAACAATGGGGATAAGAAAAAGTATGGTAAAAATCTAGAACAAAGGTAAGGAGGGACCATGGGAATTCTAAAGACAGATGAATACTTTGGAGGTATAACTGGGAAAAATGTTATGAAGAAGGATGGTTCTTAGAAGTTAAGGTAGTATTTTGAAAGGTAAGACTAGGAGAAGGAGCCAGAGAAAACAGAAAATTAGCAAAGGTACTGAGACCAGAGTGTACAGATACAGTCAAGGAGAAATGAGTCATTCCACTTACCTAGAAAATGAGATTTAGATATGAAATTGGAGCATCCTTATTTGCCAGGGAAGGAGTTTGATCTTAAGTCAATAAGCAAAAGAAAAAAACAAAACAAACAAAAAAATACCCAACAACAAGTGTGTGTGTGTATGTGTGTGTGTGTGTGTGTGTGTGTGTGTGTGTGTGTATATATATATATATATATATATATATATATATATATATATATAGGGGGAGAGAGATGGTAGGTAGATGCAGGGCAAGTAATTAGAAAGTTATTACAGCCCTCTTGTGGGAAACTACTTTGAGAATGAGCAGGAAGAATGTGAAAATAGGAAAGTAATCAGAGACGCTACAAAGAATCAATTAGCCATTGTGATTTTGATGTTACGGTGGAAGGATTCTTGGATGATTTTTCTGATGTACAATGTGGAGAAATGTGGACCAGGTGATGCTATCATAGGAGAAAAATTTCTCTGAAGCTTTGGGAGCAATCATGAGGGCCTTCAAGTCCACAAATTTCTTTTTTTCTTCCCCTATTTCTATGAATTGAAAAGAAGACCACCCAAATATGCAAATCAAGGATTCAGGGTATACCAGGCAAAATCATGGAAAAGAAATTACCATTTAGACATATCCTGGTGAATACTTTCCTTATCATTTTGACTCAAAAGCCTCAAAGAAAAACAGCAAAACAAACAAAAAAACAGGTACCAAAACACAAAACTCAACTGCTCTTCTTCTCTAGGACATTAAATATAAGAAGATGTTTAAAAACTGACATCTAAAGAGTTTTGAGGTGGAAAATGTTTACAATATATTAATTTTTTTAAAGATTTTATTTATTTATTCATGAGAGACAGACAGAGAGAGAGAGAGAGAGAGAGAGGCGGAGACACAGGCAGAGGGATAAGTAGGCTCCATGCAGGGAGCCTGACATGGGACTTGATCCTGGGTCTCCAGGATCAGCCCAGAGCTGAAGGTGGCGCCAAACTGCTGAGCCTCCCGGGACTGCCCACAATATTTAATTTTAGTTCGCAATTACATTGCTTTTCGTTTGTGAAAATTATGATTGATATAATCTTAGAACTTACTTGAAAAAAATTCAAAGACACGTTCCAGTTGAGAGATGAATTAAAAATCAAGAAGACCTGAATAGGTAGTTTATTTTAAAAGAATTGGAAGTATGAATATATAATATAAAAACATCCCCAGTCTAAATAATGCAATATGTATATGTAACGATAAAAATAGAAAGAAGTTATCCTAAATCCTGAAAAAAGAAACATGAGAATATTTTAATAAGACCAGGTGTTAAACTCTGTTTATAAATTAAAACTGGAATATAAAGAGATGAAATGGTTTTCAGAAATGAAAGTATAATAAATTCCTCATTTGCCTAGAAGTCATATTTAGAAACACAGATTATGTACATTTTAAAACAGTATGTTCATCTACTGAATATGTAATGGGTGAAGGAAAGGTTTATATAGTAAATTATGAAGAAATAAAATAAAAAGCATGAAATCCAGTGTAAAGCAAGATGGCAGAAGACCAAATTTATCTATTTCCAGTTATGTTTAATTCTAAGTCTGCAAATTTCTTCAATAATGAAATTCAGCTATATGCTATTGAAAGACAAATCTTGCCAATTAGTGCCTGTCCAGCTCAAAGAGTATGACGTTCTTTTCCTAGAAGAAAGAAGCTATAAAGTGTTTCACAAGTTGAGAAACTTTGATAAGAACCCATATTTTTAACGCTTCTTTAAAAATTGAAACAACAGGGCAGCCCAGGTGGCTCAGCGGTTTAGCGCTGCCTTCAGCCCAGGGTGTGATCCTGGAGGCCCCGGATCGTGTCCCACGTCAGGCTCCCTGCATGGAGCCTGCCTCTCCCTCTGCCTGTGTCTCTGCCTCTCTCGCTGTGTCTCTCAGGAATAAATAAATAAAATAAAATAAAATAAAAAAGAATTGAAACAACAGGACACATTTTCATATCGTAGCAGTAATTAGTCCTGAGGAGACAGTGGCCCACCAAGATAGGGCATCATTCTCTAATTTGTGGTTGTCTCTAATTTATTACTCCTTTATCCACTTTACCTTTGTTTTTGTCCCATATTAACCTAAATAGTAATTGAGTTAATAATCACAAACAATACAGTAACTAAAATGAGAAAATTAAAAGAATGAGCTAAATTATATTGTGCAAATGTGAACAAAAAGCTAGAATCACAATATTGATATTAGATAAAATACAATTGAAGTAAAAATTCACCAAATGGGGAAATGAGATCTATTTCATATTGAGTAAAGGTACAATCTACAATGAATTTATAATATTCAAGAGCCATTACATATTTTAAAATAATAGCATCAAAATATATGAAGCAAAAATATTAATTATATTAGTGAAATATTTCAATAAGTAACAATAGTGGGAACCTTTAACATTTGTCTTATCAGCAAGTATAACAGACAAAAGAAAATAGTGTAGAGGGGATCCCTGGGTGGCGCAGCGGTTTGGCGCCTGCCTTTGGCCCAGGGCGCGATCCTGGAGACCCGGGATCGAATCCCATGTCGGGCTCCCTGCATGGAGCCTGCTTCTCCCTCTGCCTGTGTCTCTGCCTCTCTCTCTCTCTCTCTGTGTGACTATCATAAATAAATAAAATAAAAAGAAAAAAAAGAAAATGTAGAATATACGAATACTATAATTAAGATGGTTTAACAATATCCTCCTTCTTCATACATTACAAAGTCTATATTTATTTTCTCTTCAAGCTCTTTGCCTGTGTCACTTACAGTAATTGATCTATTAGGCTAAAAATAAAATCTAAAATTCCAAAGTGGTGAAATTATACAGGTATATAAAAAGTGAAGTCAAACTTATAAATTCAATGTTTTTGAGTAACTGTTTTGGCAAATAAATCAAAACTGTAGAGATGGTAATAACAATACTCACTCTGAAATTCATGGGATCTAGCCAAAGCTATAGTTGGAGGTACATTAATAGCTTTAATAGCTTTAATTATTAAACAAAAATAATGAAAATAAGCATTTACCTAAAAGTAAAAATAAATTTCAACGTAAATACAAGGAAACCATAAGAAAGAACCTAATAAATATTTTTATATAAAGATACTTAAAATGAAGCCTTAGTGGGGCACCTCGGTGGCTCATTCGGTTAAGCATCTGCCTTTGGCTCAAGACATGATTCTAGAGTCCTGGAATCAAGTCCCACACCAGACTCCCTGCTGATCAGGGACTCTGCTTCTCCATCTCCCTCTGCCTCTCCCCCCAGCATGTGTTCTCTCTTGCTCACTCTCTCTATCAAACAAATAAATAAAATCTTTAATTTAAAAAATGAAGCCTTAGGAATTATAAAACCTATTTCATGAAGAAATTTTTTAATTGGTAAGAATACTATGCATAATTTCATGCTGTTACAAATGAAGTTGTTAAAATTAATACTTTTTAGGGAAATGTAAATTGGTATACAATGGATTTGATAAGTGGAAACCCAGTAATTTAATAGCCCATGAAAGAAATGGAAAAAATTGACAAGGAATTTCTTCCAAAAAAGAGATAGGAAATATAACATGGTTATATATGTGACTTTCTTCACATTTTAAAGAAGAAATCATTACCTTGTATTTCAGTGATACAAGCAAGAGCTTGCATTCCATTACATAGAAACTGATATAGACATCTGGTTTATTTCACAAACTAGTCTAATCCTGATATCAAAGCCTATCAACAAGAGCACAAAGAATTACAGACCAACCTCTTGACTAGACCTGAAAAAGAAAATACTAATAAGTGATAGAATAACAAACACTGATACAGTCCTTATTATGTGCCAGATAATGTACTGAATGTTTTCTATTAGCTCATTTAATCCTCACAACCTATGAAGTAGTACTATTACAATCCCCAAATGCCAACTAGGTGCCCCATATATCATTCTTTTTAAAATTCGTCCTTAGAACAGATCCAAATTCATCTCTTATGACTACCCAGATCCCAACACTCAATTATGAAAAAATGTTGGATCAGTATATGCTAACTTAGACACCAATGAGATATTAAGTAAAACAAAACAAACATGACAGATGTAATATTAGAAGTGACTTCAGGGGTCACTTGGGTGGCTCAGTCCATTAAGTGTTTCCCTTAGGTTCAGGTCATGGGATTGAACCCCATATTGGGCCCCCTGCTCAGTGGGGAGTCTTTTTCTGCTTCTGCCTCTCACCTGGTTTGTACTCTCGCCTCTCCCTCTCTCAAATAAATAAACTGTTTTAAAAAAAAGATTGACAATATGATAATAAGGATATTTACCTTTTTCTGACTTTTACAAAAATGCTTTTAATGTTTAATCCTTAAATGTGATATGGCTATTGGTTGAACTACACTTTTATTTTTCCTTTAACAAGAATTTGTATTTTAATTAACTGAGCTGCCCAGGTGCCCCAATTATTGTTGATCTTTGTTTGGAATTTATAGCCTGTACATTAAGATTTTCTTTTTAAAAAATATTATTCCATGCAAACAATTACAATATATTTAGTGGG